AGGGACTCTTCGTTAGAGACTGTAGCGACAGCACAAGTAGTAACGGGCTTAAACTTAAACAGGGGAAGTTCAGCTAAGATATAAGCAAGAAGTTCTTTATTGTAAGGGTGGTAAAGCACTGGCTACCATAGAAAAGGAATCTGTCTTTAGATTTCTATACTGATTGCCATTTTGCACTACACTGCAAGAGTGCACATACCATTTTAGGCACTTGAGTAAACCTGCAGTTTTGTCCTCTACTCAGCTTTGAGTACAGCTTTAAATGAAACAGATGAAGTCACATATCACTTTAAAAGTTTGCTCAGATTAATAGTGAAGATAAGCTACAAATTCTTAGCTACTACATGAAAATACTCATCTCAAATATTATATATTGACATGCACTATTAAGTATTTACATGGCTACAACTTCAACTAGCCAGTATTAAACAAAATACTAAATAATATTACATATTGCTGAAGCTTTAATTTAAAGTATTTATGTACAGTAGTAGCAACTAAAAAAAGTAAGATAGGGGGACTGTTAAGTAGGGAATTCCTACTTCACAAGGATACCAGTGTCTGAAGACCTCAGATTCCAAAGAAAAATAGTAATTTACCACTTATGAGGCAGCTGAAGTGAATTAACTCTTTTGACAGAAATAATCTTTACCACTTTTGAGGATACCGAAACACAATCACATGAGCTATTACAGGAATTTGTGCAACTCTTATCAATGTTTCAAAATTCCATTATGCAGTATGTTCCCTGAAGCATAAATATTTCAGTTTGTATTTCTCTTCACTTATAACATATTCTTATTGCATCTCTTAAATCAGCCTAGTTTTAAAAATGCAGTTGTACAACAGAAAATTTATCATAGCTCAGTTTCTGAGATGACAACAGGTTTTACATAATTACTTAACTACTAGGTATTGACATAAAGCATGCTGTCTTCTGGAGAAGCTGAAGACCAGAGAAAGTTATGATTACCTGAAGTAGGTGATTTGCAGCGATCTTCTGGCACCGTTGTACCTTCATTAATATCACAAAGACCTGCTGGAACACAAAAACAGTGTATAATAATACAGCTGTTACTTTATCCTTTCTTCCACTGCAGTTAGGAACTTCATTTCTTATTGGCTACAAACCAGCCAGTTGTGACAGAATTTGTGATGTATTACTTTATTTTTATTTGGACATTACCCACAGTAACTGTAGAGTCACTTCTTTCTACTGAAGTTTTCTTTACAAAATATACTTCCTCATAAAATTTGAGTGAAACCCACCATATTTTCAGCAAGACAGACTTATCAGAACACTTACTTACATGCTACAGATATATGTTAAGTACAACTTGTTTCAAAAAAAAAATCTTAGAGATATATTAAAAATGTAATTACAAAAGAAGTCAGATGAAAGAGGATCTTGAAACTTACAACCATGTGTGCAGTATGTGTGAAACTACAGTGTCTTTTTGCAATTCTTTTCCCACTTCTACAGTGATATGCTTTGCATTTGCTGTTACATTAAGTTTGCTCTCCAGCAAAACTCCTTACTAATTTACGTTCCAGGGTGCTTTTCCTTGTATAGAGGAATTACACTAAATTCTTACATCAACAAATCTGCTAATTTGAGTAACTGCAATGTGTTAATATCTAAAAGCTCATTCCTTCCATTCCAGTGAAGGAAGGAAAGCATAGGAGTCCACAATCAGACGCTAAAGATGGAAGTTGCCTCATAAAGTTCCTAAATATTTTTGCACTGACTAGAAGTATACATGAAATTTTTCTAGTATTAATGCTGCCAAGACTGCCCAAAATTAAGAAATTTATAGCTTAAGCCACAACAGCTAGTAATGTATATCTACATTTATATAAAAGCTTTCCTTCAGCATCTAATACTTAACAGTAATAGTTAAGAAATATTTGTTAAAATGAAAGGTTTTGCGTGCACACAAATATTTCAAACAGTCAAAAAGCTTGAGAGGTGCAATGGTAATGGCTAAAGCAACAACGGCTTGCACATGCAAAGGCTGTCTATACAGCTATTTACTACACATTCACTAGTGTATCTATCTGTACGTGTATGTTAACAGATGACAAAAAATACGAGAACAGTAGTACTCTTCTAGCAAAGCTTTAAGATTTCCAAATGCAATAATCAAAGTTTTTAAGTAAAGGAAAAAAAAGTTCTCCTGAAATATCCTACCCATGTGTAACACATTAAAAGTAGGCTGCATTCACACAGTTTCTTTTATGCAAAATAGTCTAAGATTTCTAAAAGCACAGGCAGCTTGAACCTCAAAACTCAATGATCGATGTAAAATTTTCAAGTGACCTTAAGACTTGGTTAAGCCTACACTTAACCAATAGTCCAGAAAGTGATTTCAATTCTAATGTGTATAGTGAGATCTCAGATGAAAGCTGTACCTTTCCACTACACAGGAGAAATAAATACAATTTTTTTTTTCTTTTATCTATCAGTAAATCAATAAGCTCTATGGGATAATTGTGGTACACATTCTCTGACAATGTACAATTTGACCTCTGAAAGGAGAGTTTTAAACAATGTTATGTAGACAGGGTTGTGTAAAAAGACTTTTTGAAATTCCAGATGCTGGTCTCCCAACAAGCAATACAAGTTTTAGTAGCAATGCTGGGAGAACAAACCTGCACTGTGCTTTTGGACAAAGTTGTGTTTCTAGATCATGCTTCTTCAGGAGCCAGACTGAACAAATCCAAGCACGCAGTTCAGGAACTTATTCTCTCTTTTCCTCTAAGTATTTTCATTCTTTAATCTTCATTTGAATAGTTTAACTTCTCACACTAGTTTTCTGAGGAAAATTCCTGCATTGACAGGAATAGCCTTTAGCCAAGAATGAAATCACACACCTGTACACCTGATTTCTTTGTAAGAAGACCTGCTATGATTTAATTTCTATACATCTTAATGAATTACTCAGATCAATTGATCTAGAAGAAAACCTCCAGAATCCCTTATTTTATGCATTAGGTAAGATTTATCCCACTAAAGAGTGTGTATTATGGCAATCATTATGGCACAAGCCTTCAAAATCTAAGCATAGCTGTCACTGCTGTTGTTTAAGAGAGAAGGGACAGGAATAGATTAAAAGTAATTTTACTTCTGACTGTGTAAGTAATTAAACTAAGCAGAGAATAACACGAATGATCTCAGTTAAGCCTGTGAGCTATGAGGATCAGTCCATCACCAGTGAGAAGAAATTAGTGTAGCAATCATTACTGCTGTTCATCTTAAGCCCCCAGGTACCCTGACAGAAGCAGCATATGCACTTGCAGTAAGACAACTTTCCTGGAAAAGTTCTCTGGTTTCAGACTTACAGCATATGTGCAAATTGCTATGGATTACAAAGAGCAAATTGATGCAAGAGTTTCCATTTCAGAACTGCAAAGACTAAAACCTGCTAGAACACAAATAAATGGAAAAGTGATCTTCTAATAAGTTTTTAGCTTCTCCTCTGAAATCTAGTGGAAAAAAAATTTGGAAGCCTCCAAAATGAATTAAAAAAAAAAAAAATTAAAAAAATCAAATAATGTCATTAAAGGCATAAAATTTACCCATGTTGCCTTAAAAACTCCCTAGAATTGAAGCTCAAATTAACTGATGTATAAAATAAGTTTCATGAGTCATTTGTCAGTTTTGCACAAGCCTTTAGACGGCTATACCACCAAAGAAACTACAGCTTGACTGGAAACAAGCCTAATTAAAAATTACAACTTGAACTATTATCTTGATATAAAAATGTAAAAGTAAGAATTAAAAACAATTAACCTGAAAAATGGAGTAAAAAAATCTGCAAACCCAACAATCAAACTTTCTGATTCAGTTCTGGTCTTGTCTTAGCCATAGATTACGGTGGTCTGATTTAGTTGACATTTAAGTTAAAAATTCAACTAGTTCATGTCCGGGTCCACTTCAAAGAGAAAGGGGACAGGGAAAACAACTAGAAAAAACAACTCCAGAAGAGTTCTAGGCATGTATTGTCTTCAGGTTTGACTCAACCCAGCTCTGCATCCCTTGTAGATTACATTAAAAAAAACCACTTTTTGGTGTATAATAAAAGTAAAATGAAAAAATCACATGAATGCAAGAACCGCTTCTATTTTATCAGAATCCTAACTGCCTCTGGTAGAACTAAGAAATACTAATTTACAAGAAGTTGTATTATAATGTACTAGTTGAGAAGTCACATAAAATCTTGTAACTCTCATCAAGTTGTGAAAGAGTTAAGATCAGCATCTTATGTGAACTTCATTATGTAACTAAGCAAGGAAAAATAGCAGCTGTCCGTAAGTTTTGGTGCTTAGTCATAAAATTACAAATTGTTTGATAATTTGGTGCCAATATTGACTCTGCACAGTGTAAGCCTCCACTGAGCATAGAGGTTTCATCACAGTATAAAACTTTTACTTACACAGTTTATGTCTTTCAGCACATGGGCAAAGCTGTTTGGTTATTTTTCTCCTTCACTATTATGATCTAAAGGCAAACGTTGACTGTTTTTATCCTTTACAAGCACCTGATGACAGGCCTTCACCGAACACATATACTGCATGCTTCACAAACTATAAATTGCCACCCAAAACGTGAGTAATATACCTGGTATGAATCACCGATAAATTCCAAAACACGATCCCAACTGGGAGCTTGTATCTGTTGAGCTAGCCTGAAAAGACAGTTTACAGTCTAGCTAGTGTAGAGAGCCTTGTCTCTAAATAGATGCTGCTTTAAGACGGGAATCTGAATTTCTTTTCTGAGTGAAAAAAATGACAGAAACATACATCATATATCATATTCTTGCAACACAAGTGAAGGGAAAATCTTGCATTTCCATTCATATTTTAGAAGATACATAACTTACTCTATGAACTTAAAAAAAAAAAGTCTTTAAATTTCAATTGGTTGACTCAGGACATGCCATTTGCTAAATAATAAATATGTAAGCAGATAATGACGATCTATTAAACAGACATTTTATGCTGGAACATACAGAATAGCAGGGTTACTAATGAGGAAGGACCAATTCTTGCTGCCTTTTCTGGGCAAAATCTATGGAACTGGTTGAGTAACAGAACGGTATTTTCCTACCTCCCCCACCATACTGTAATAATTTAATTTTTAATCCTGCCAATCTTGTGATACAATGTACAGTAATAATATGCTGCTCTGCTGCATGCTATTTGAACCTGAACTTAATGTAACTAATTAAGAACTTGTCTTAAAGCATGCATAGGCTGGTACGACTTTTTTTTTCCCCACTTAGTACCTTGTGGTTGTCTCAGAGAATGGGAAAAACACTCAACTTCTCTAAAGCAATCACACCAAATACATAAACACTTTCTAAGAAGATTAAGAAACTAAGTGCAAATACTCCCTGAATGTTATTAGAGCTATACAGTAGTTGAAAAAGTCTCACTCATAGAAAAATAAAATTTAGAAGTATCAAAATGCAAGCTTTTTTAAACATAAAGAATTAAATGAAGGCATAACTTTGAAAATAAAAGCAAGGAAGCATAAGTTCCTTGTGTTTCTGAAATGTTCTAAGTCTTAAGGTTCCAACCCCCTAAGTATAGCAAAGGATAGTTCTTTGATGTAACAGTCTCATTTGTGGAAAATTACACAGTAATAACTGCTTTAAGCTATTGAAGTCTGGGCAACACACACATTGAATGAACCACAAATAATGAGTAATATTAAATAACTTTAGAGAAATTTCCAGTTTTTAAAAGCTCCAACTAACCAAGGTATTGTCAGGACAGCGTATGGAAAATGAATTAACAACATGTATAAGAAATTAACTCATTTGTACAAAACCTGTTTTCACCTATTCCTAAATTAAACAGTCCAGCTAAATTCAGCTTTACAGTCATTGGCTTCAGAAACCAGTTTTGGGACTTCCACCCATCTTTTGCTTCCCTTCACAATAATAAGTCAGTGGCAGATTTTAGTTCTTAGTTTTTAGTTTTTAGTTCTGCATCATCTTAAGGTGGAGGCATTTCTTTTACGTCTAGTTCCCTTTCTCCCTTGGCAGCAGGTGATTGAAGACTGCACAGCAGTATTTGGCTGTTGAGACCACCTTCTCTGAAAGTTTTTTCTTGCTGGGAAAAAAAAAACCCAGCAGAACTAACAGAATTGGACCACAATCTCAAGGAGGGGGGAGGAGGAGAAGGGGTTTGCCCCCTTTTTTTTTTGTAATTAAGAAAAATCCTACAGGTCATTCTTCCCTTATCTTAGTTTTATTCTACCTTGCTTCATTAAAAAATGGGGAGAGATTACCTAACTCTGCCCAAGAGCTGCAGAAAACTGGCATGCTAGGGAAAGGAACAATGTTATGCTTTTAAAAATCTGCTTTATGTTCTCCAAACTCTCGGATGTTGTGAATAGAGTAAGTCAGAGAGGCCCTCAGGTAAATTATGGTTCCAATGAGCTACCTCACTTGCACAGATGCCTGAACTTCAAAACTGCTTGGAAACCCCACAACGCTGTGCGATACACAAACACCTCCACTCTTAACCCCTATGAAAAACATCTTTGTAGAAGTAAACTTTCATTTGTAACAGAAAAATCACTGTCTTCCATAATGTTAAATATTAATAATAATAATAATCTAACCCTGGAGTTATGAAGCTTTTTCTGACAGAATGGGGGCCAAGCAAGGTAAGCTTCTAATCTCAGATCATAAAACACTATCACTGGCGAGTAAGATCTCAGCTCTGTAGACATCAGTAATTTCTGAGACAGAATCTCCTTTTGATTTTGATATTTATTTAAAAAAAAAATGCAGAGACTATTACAGGTGCTTTTTTTCCTTCAAGTTTCTTTTGAAGATGCCATGAATAAGAAATACAACAGATGTGTGATAAATTAGAATCAGTTTCTAAAATTATAACATTTATTTGAAACGGACTAACAAAATATTTATGGTGAGTGAACAAGTGAAAAATCAAATTCAGGTGTTCAAAGATATTTTAATGCTGTGAAATGACTTACTTATATAAGAGGTGCGAAGCTTTTTCACAGACTCTGAATATAAGTTAGAAAGGCCGCACATGCAAGAAGCCACAGTCAGCATACCTTCATGAAGCAATGAGAAAAGGAAAGATGGAGACACTAACAGTACGTTTGAGACAGAAAAGCCAGCAGAGTAACTTGTATAACCAGGCTTGTAAGATGCTCTTGCCATGCAGATTGTTAGTATTAAAATGTAAGATAAAAAAAAAATACATGATTTCATGTAACAGTTATATTCACGAGCAAAAAGGACTTAATTCATGAACATGAGTTAGGCAAATCCAATACATTAAAATAACAGAAGCCAAGAAAACAAAGCAAGTAAAATTTAACACTCCAAAAAGCAGTTTATAATCCAAATGCATGAAGCAGAATTTGAGCCCTTCAGTCCCAAGAGGAATTAAAAGAGTCAACCAGTAAAGCTGTTTATTTCTCTGAAAAAGCAATTTTTTAAATAAAGTTTTTATTTATGAGAAGAAAATATTTTATCTGACAGATACCAACCATGTACATTCTGCTCTACATGAATGACTTTTAGACCAGTTTTCCTCAGTAAAAATAATCTGACTGGTGCTAACTGGATCTTTTTCAAACCAGTAATTTACCAAAATGCATCTTAGAGCATCCATTTCAATTTCAATAAAATATTACCTAAAGAACTTACCTGGACTTTATTCCAGATCTCTTAAAATAAAGCAAGCAACAGTAGGGTATGACAAAGCTTTTTAGACAGTTTATTGCCTATTGAAAAATAATCATATGGGGCAGCAGTGACACTGCTAATTATTCTCTCTTCAGCCATTTTTCAAATTAGCTGGAAAGTATCCACTACATAACCAGGAGGAAAAAATGATTTAACAATACTGTGTTTTTCTTTCAGCAATAAAAAGCTTGGCATTTTGACTGAAAAGTCATTTTCCTCCTCAGCTGCAATGGAATATCCTTCAGTATGTTTTTAAATCAAAGCCCTTTTTTCCAGAAAGATTTATTTTACAATTTTGTATTTGGAAGTTTATTTGGTTCATTTAAATCAAATGCTTCCTCTCAAGCATAAGAAAACAGCATCCACAACCTAACATGCCTTAGCTTATCAGGGACATTTCTAGTCAAAGTTTAAAATAGGAAGCCAAACGATCCCAGCTGATATGTTGGCTATCTGCTAAGATTAAAGGGTTTATACAAGCATGTGATATAGGTACTACGTTTATCAGAAATATCAGGATGCCTCTACTTCTTCATGCTGTGTTATTAAAATCCTGTAAATTCAATCCATTGTACATGCTTTTTCTTAACACACACACACATTATGCTGAAAAATAAGTAATGATACCAAGCAGTTTTGAAGGAAACGTGAAGTAACAAACCTGCAATACTAACATTAGGGACAGATCAAGGAGAAAGGATGAAACCACAATGGAGAAAAGTATGTTTGTGTTCAAAGAACATACACTAATAGCTCAGATAACCAGCTATGCCTTTCTTCTGAGCTTAGAACAAGTTTTGGGTTACTCACCTCCAGACGGTTGCCGGGATTTTCGGGGAGATCGTGGCTCCCTGCGGTAAGGATCATTGGAGCCATACAGTTCAATAGTGCCTAGATTCAAGAGCACTGTCTTCTGGAGGTAATCGACCATAGCAATACCATTACAGTTTCCAAAAACTACTCTGGAAAAGGAGAAGTGGAAGGAAAGACAGTGCTAATCAAATGGTCATAAAATTTTATCTCTGTATTTGTTGCTGTTCAGCATTTAAAGACTTCCTTATTTATGAATTACCCTAAACTATGCAGATTTATAAATTACTGGTTTAGAATGCAGTATTGTTTAATTGTTCTTTTGTAAAAAACACAGGACACTGAGTAGAACAGATCACTACCATTTTACTTGCCAACCTGACAGAGCCTTAAATGACACTCTTTGTCTATACAGTGCCAGGTGAGGAAGAGTGATGCTGATTTGTTTCTAATGTTAGCATCATCAGCATCTGCCATGACCCAAAATCAATTATCTTTTAAGCACAGGACACTGATTGCCTCTCATGTGTTGCTGTGTAGCTTATGTGAACTCATATGGGAGTTTAATTTTTAATAGATAATTGTAAACCACTTTAACATAACAATGAAAAATATGCATAGATTATACTTACAGGCCGTACGCTGAGTTGACTGCTAAGCTGGTTATCTGTTGAGGAGGTTCTCCACTCACCCACACTAGCTGGATAACTAGCTCAATTTGGTAGCCTGGAGACTGCTTGAGAGGAGAATTTTTAACTCTGCAAAGTAAACAAAACATGGTATCTGTTTATGACTCTCCACAGTCTCAATTCTTCTCTTATGGGCTCAGAATTCACTAAATTGTACACCATAATGGACTTTAGAAAGTTGGAAAATTGCTTAAAAAAACCCCAAAATTCAACAGAAACACATAAAAGCAACCATAAACCAGTGCATTGGAACTGGTCATTCACTTCAAGGGCCTTTTTGATTCATTACCTAATTGAAAATTAATTGAGCAGTGATCACAAATATTTCATTTCTCCCCCTCTTCAGAGCATGGTGTGACAGCATTAGTATGCTTTATTGACTTGAATAAAAGCCTTCAGTGTCTCAAATGAGTTACCCATTCTTATCAGAGTTCCCAAAAGAACTGATTTAAAAAATGGAAGGGGGTGAGAAGCACGTGTGGAAGTACCATGAGCACTCTGAGGCATCATATAAAAAGAAGATCTATGAGAATGGGACATTTAATTGTTTCTTGTTCCCAAAATGCAAAGTAGTTCCCTTGAAGAGTTATAAAAAAAATAAAAAAAAAATAATAAAAAAAAAGATTTCTAAGCCTAAAAAGTTACCTCTCAGTTATTTGTAAATATTTTAATTGCTTTTGATTTGATTCTAAAAATCTAAGGCTCTAAAACCGGGTGAAATCTATTCAGACACACTTGACCTAAAGTTAAGGAGATCCTCAAAACTAATTAATCAAAATTAAGTTGCCTATTCATTTCAATGCACAGTAAGATTTACAAGTAACAATATTGTTGCTATTGAAAATGTCATAGAATCATAGAATAGTTAGGGTTGGAAAGGACCTTAAGATCATCTAGTTCCAACCCCCCTGCCATGAGCAGGGACACCACACACTAAACTACGTCGCCCAAGGCTCTGTCCAGCCTGGCCTTGAGCACCTCCAGGGTTGGAGCATTCACAACTTCCTTGGGCAACCTATTCCAGTGCCTCACCACCGTCACTGCGAAGAACTTCTTCCTTAGATCTAACCTAAAGTTCCCCTGTTTAAGTTTAAAGCCATTAAATTAGGGCATGTCTGCCCTAAACAGTGAGTATCTAGCTACACTAACATCTATGCCAAAGTTTCCTATAGCAGGCAGCAGGCAGCAGTCAGAAGGTAAAAATGGTCATTCTTTTTTTTATTTTAATAAGTCTGCTTATGAAGTTTACAGAAACCAAGATTGCAATATTAATTTCTTAGAACTAAGCTTTCAGATTTTTGGAAAACACCAAGAAAAAAAATCACCAAAAGTGACATTTCTGTAATAATATCAAAGTAATACATTCTAATCACATTTTGTAGTAAAGTTTCACACTCAAACATGTAACAAAATATACTTACTTTAAACATGGGACATTATCACGAAGCCCATCAGATGAACTGCTACTAGTAGATGGGTGAGACTGGGGAACAATGGATTGAGGATTGGAACCTGTGCCTGGAGTTGGTAAAGGTGGCACCTGCTCACCATCTGGAGATTCAATATCATTTATTTCATATAACAGACGTACTTCCAGCATCTGTGAATTAAAGTAAAAAAAAATTACCAGTAAACTTTACCTTTCAAAAAACTAGATATGAAATAAATGAAGTGCAACTAAAGATACTAATGATAAGTGACATCCAGGACTTTACCACCCTTTAAAAGATAATGGTCGTTTAATAAACAGTGCAACCTAAACACAATGCAGTCTTCAGAAATAGAGTTATACTAACTGCTACAGACCGACTATCTGAAGACTGCTAAAACTTGAAAAGCTAACCTATTTCCAGAAATATAAAAGCCTGCTGCTTAATATTGGGAAGAAACTAAATACTGGATACAAGACCCATTCAATTATCAATCTGTGCACATAAGAAATTCTCAATTATGAAAATGACTTGTTCTATGTAGTCCAGGAATGCTAGAACTAAGAGCTGAAAGCATATAGACAGCTAACAATTTATACTCTTGTAGTACTATACACATGGGACTTAGCTCAGTGTTTGATGTTGCACTGAACTAGATGATACATTTTAAAGAACGAAGTCCATCATGATTTCAGACTTTTCTGCTGGATCTATAATAACATTGGTATTAATTGTAGTGCTCTGTAAAGAAAATTTTCTGCGCTTATTCTCATCATCTGCAAAGTAGATCTCATGGACTGAAACAAAGAACTATACAGTGGTTTTTTTAAGCATTTTTAGTACCGGATAGTTTGCTGGGCGTCGATTTGTAAATATCATTTAGAAAAACTATTCCCTCAGAAGGGAATGTAGTCATACATAAGTAAACACGAGAAGATAAAAAAAAAGTATGCCTCACCTCCTTGAACTGAGATTTATCTGAAGGGGGCAGAATAAGAGAGGGGAAAAACCCAAATAAAAAAAACCCAACTACATTACAATTAATGCTTTGCTTAGCACATAAAGAGTATTTTATAATTAAATGGTTTCAAATTAGCTTTCACCTCATACATTCAGGTAAGTTGCACGTGTGTGTCTGATTTAACACCGGACTTCTGAAACTCTCATGACAGAACTCATCATTGTACCTTAGAATAAAACAGTGACACAGCTAAGTCCTTAACAGACCTGAGGGCATGTCTAGAACGCTTCTATTCTTCTAGTTTTGCATGCTACAGAAGTTTCGCCAAAACAGTTGGTAATTATTAGGAATACAGGAGGAAAACAGGAATCAACTGCCTAAAAGCCTTGAAAATTCTTCAAATCCACATCTCTATCACTTTTGTTTTAATTTTATTTTAATACAGCCAAGTTTTGATCCACTATTTAGTTTGATAGAACAAAACTATTATTGGCTGCAAAATCTGAAAATATTGGTGTGCAATTTTCACTTCTTCTGAATTTCATAATTTATTGTTTTTTCTCCACAAAAAATGTATCTCCTTGTTTTGAGGCAATTGGTTTAGTCTGTTTCATTAATAAAATGAAAGGCAATGAAGTAGTATATTGCTACAGCAGTCTTCTTATAGCTAAATCCTACAAAGTTAAAGCACAGTTATACTAATTACCGGAATGACTTCTGTTGTCACTTCCTGCTTGCTGAACCTGTAAATAATGACATGTGCAGAAACTCCAGCTATGCACAGCATTCTACTTTCTGGACACCATGAGATGATCTGAATAGCATATGGATCTTCATCCACTATATCTGTGTTTGGCCTGTCATCTTTATTCCGTGATTTTTCAAATACTTTGGCTGTTTTTAGCTTATAGAGTACTTGCAGTGTTACTAGGGGGGAAAAAATAAAAAAAAAAATTAGTTTTTATCTAAAAAACATATTTCTCTTTATTTTTTTATTTTTTTAATTTAGAAACCTCTCTTCATAAATAAAGCAACTATATTCAACAAGAGAGAGCAGAGGAGAATCACTAAATACCTGTGTTGACTCTACCTGTGCAGTGCACCACCTGACCAGCTCAAGATCAGTTAGTATTAAAAACACCACCACAAGCAACAAAGCCAACACACACCAAAAAACAATCAACAACCGAGAAATACATATTAAGCTTCAGTTGTCAACTAAGCCCTCATAGCTTCTCAAGGCTTAGCTATACTTAGGTATCTCTTTTTAACAATAACATCCAGGTAAGTATGCCATACCCACAACTTAAGCTTATCTATGGCAGAGAAAGTGAAGCTCCTTTGTTTTCGCCTTATAGTATTTCAAATACATGGCCTCTCACTGATGATCTCTGACTTAACAGCCTCCAGTTTTTATTTTGTCCTGTCTGATCAATCACCCTACATTTTTACTGATAATGTGTTTCTTAGAATTGTTCTAGTGAGGCCTTGCCACAGTTTAGAATTGTGTGTGTGTGTGTGTGTGTGTGTGTGTGTGTGTGTGTGTGTGTGTGTGTGTGTGTAATATTCCTTACTGGTTTCACATATATTCCAACTTGTTTATACCAATGATATTTTTTATCTCATGCAATGCTGGCACTGCAATCCACCAGACCTCCAGGTTTTTTCCTGGAACCTAAGTTCTGAGTACAAATCATTGAATAAAGTTGTCTTGGATGCTAATCAAGAATTAGCATTATCATTCTCAACTGTAGTTCTAATTCTCTCTTACATTTTCTTTCAACTATCTTGGTGTTGCTTTCAAACTTCACAGGCATAGGAATGCCCTAAATCACTGCTACAAATACTAATCATACCATTAGGAAAACTTAATTTCTAGCATCCTTTCTCCTCTTCCATATTTCTGTGTTTTTTTCTGAATCACACTTCCCCAGTTCATCTGTAAGACTGTGCTATTACACAGATTTAGAAGTTTAAAAATCAAGATATGGTGTACTTTCAGTTTCTCCCTTAACAGATTTATCTGTTTTATAAAGAAACTAAACGCCTTTAACAAGATCTCCTTTTGACAGATCTATACTGAAAAGAATTTTTAAGCACACACAATCAGTCAGGGTTGGTTTGTTTTTCCCCCTCTCTCTCTCCTGGGTTCCACCTCCACCCCAAACTGAAATTAAAGATTGTAATACTCCAAATACTCCTCCTCCCAGTTTTTAACATATACATTGCATCTGTTCCCTCCCACACTCACACACGTCTTAGAATTTTGGAATCTCACCAGTCTTCCACAAGTTATCAAAGACAACTGATAATGATTCCAAGCTTGCTTCAGACAGCTTTTAAGTACCAAGAGTAAGGTTAGTCAGAACTAAATTAATTAAAACATCTAACTCTGTGTAGCCCATTCTAATTTGAATTCTTACTGCATTTCTCACTGTTGCTTGTGTATACCATTAGATGCAACTGACCCTTTAAGAGAAGAGAAATGTAAAATGGTAACTGACTGCAGGCCTGTTCAGTGTTCCAAAGAGAAGTGTCTTTTACTGTTTTTATTAGCAAAAACTACTACTGGTTCCAATCCTCATTTTTAGATACTGTAATTTATGGTGAGCCGATGTCTTAAACACATGTCTCTCCTGTCTAAAAACACAGAAACAACCTACTGAAATTCAATTGTACTAAAAAGGAAGGCATTTGCCTGTTATGCATCTCTATGCTCAATAACATGCTTCTAAAATTTTCAGAACTCTTCCATTCTAGCTGGCTCTTGGACTACCAGTGCATTTTCACTGAGGTGGCAAAAACCGTGAAACAATTAACTAAGAAATAATGTTAATTTTATTTAATTTTAAATTAAAGTTTCCTATAGAATTACTGACTCTACATGAGGCAGGAAACAGTAAGAATGACTAGTCTGCAATTACATTCCATTAGAGAAATCAGTAAGTTTAGAAAACTCGTACTGCATAGGAAAAAATCTCTACTGAAAACACTTACTTGCTGAGGCATCCCAAAACTTGATTGACCCATCAGCATGCCTATGAAATATTAAAAAATTAATAAAATGGTGAACTGGTTAGTTGAAGTGTTAGACCTCTGTGCTAATGATTAGAATTAGATGGTGAACATTCTATTTTTATTAGTATTCTCAGTGACACTATTTTCACAATTTCCTGGAAGCCAGTATTTTACTTTACTTTAGACAGAAGGGATTAAAAAAATAAACAAACAAAAAATATTTGAAGGTTAACTCCCTGAAATTCCATGGTACTAATGCTACTTTACCATTTTAAATATGGATTTCAGTTACCTGCATTTCCCATAAGCACTTTGGTATACCTTACCATGTGTTGTTTCTTAGAAGATGCCTTTTATTTGAAGTGACACTTGTAAAGGAGATGCCTAAATATACTGCATTTCAGTGTAAATGAGTCACCTAACTTGTTTATTTATGCTTGAAACTGAGAATGACTTTTTTCTTTTCTTTCCAGGACTCTCTCTCAAAGTCTCTATAACACATAGTATAAAGTGAGTAATCCTCATTAGGGTTAATGGGCTGTTCTAAAAAAAAAATATATAGCAGTGCTCTCACTTTCAGTGATGCACTGCATGGTTATAAATTAAATTTTGTTTATGTTCCTTAGAGTAGTATTAGAAGGATCAGTCTTAAAAGAGATCAAAACAAACAGACTTAAGTATTTGGTTATCCTTTTTGAAATAAAAAACATGGCTTCACTTTGAGAACTGAACTCAATAACTATTTGATGAGCTTCCTATGTTTTAACACTATTCAACTGTTTTCCAAAAATTAGAGAATAAAAGAGAAGTTTCATCCAGGTTATACTGATAGCAAACAGATGTAATCACAATACCAAATCATAATAATCCCTATAAAACACTTGCTCTCATTTTGTGCTGACATTCTCTTCCACATTTTGCTTTGCTTTCTTGTTAATGCCTCAAGAAGATTATGCAAATGACTTGTCTAGTGAACTAATTTCTTAAATCATTCAAACCACACTTAGAACACTGTTTTGTATAACACAAATAAGATATTCCCACTTCTACTTAATCAGCTAAGAAAGTTAACTACCACACTATGGTATCACTTACCCTGTAATAATTATCTCTGGATAGCTCTGAGTGATCAAACCCCAGTTGCCTCCACTGATGGGCCATTCCTGGAAGATTAACAAATACACTGAGGAAGAAAATATCATACAGTGCAAAGTTAAGCCATTGAAATTTCTGCGAATACTGCAGATTCCAATATTTCACAAGTTCAGAAACTAATGAAGACATATCTGCTCTTGTGGGGAGTGGGTAAAAAAAAAATGTTCTACAATGGCTATAAACAACACCCATGCTCCAGGAAGTCCCTTTTCCAATATTTCACAAGTTCAGAAACTAATGAAGACATATCTGCTCTTGTGGGGAGTGGGTAAAAAAAAATGTTCAACAATGGCTATAAACAACACCCATGCTCCAGAAAGTCCCTTAGCTTCCTTACAATTGATGAGAACACATTAGAAAAGCATGGCTACAGCCTTGACATATGCTATACCCTCCCCAGACATCTGCGATTAGTCACTGTCAAAGATAGGATAATGAGTCAGATAGAGCTTTAGTCTTAGCATAGCCACGCTTATGTTGTTTAGATCTGCTGATTATCAGTATTTTCGAATACATATCCATATACTACATATTATACCTTCTTACTGTAACCTTGACGTTTCTGTCGAGCACCAACTGAATAGAGTGCAGGTATGAGGTCCACAGGACAATCAGCAAAATATTCACAACAAGTAACCGGAGATTCGTGTATAGTCAAAGGATAGGGATTCTCAAATATAGGGTACCTATGATGGATGAAAGGAGAAGAACTGTTAACCTAGGAAAAGCTTTTTTTTTAATGCAGAACAGAAGTAAATCACTAAAGACTAAGTTTGCACTCTTTTCACATAGAGAAAAATAAATGCATACGAAATCAGATTATGAACAAATATGCTATGCAACTTTAACTGCTCATCCAGTACACTGTCAAGACAGTGTAGTACTCTAGATAGAACCTGAAGTTTGTATTGTTCCTAGAATATTGCTAGAACATTGCTATTCCCTATAGTAAGCTTTTAAAAAATATAAAACTATTTTAAAGGCCTGTGGAAAACCCAAAGTTACCAAGTCCTAATGGTAGCAATGTGGAGCTATGAATTTGTTTCTAACTCTTCAGCCTATTTTTCTAGGGAGAAAGGCAGGAAGACTCCAATTCTTACTGTTCTTAGCACTTTTAATAACCTACTCTCCTGGTTTCAGCTGTAACAATTATTCTTTACCTTCCTAGTAGCTGGTGCAGTGCTGCGTTTTGGCTTTAATCTGAGAGCAACACTGATAACACACCAGTGTTGTAGTTGTTGCTTGGTAGTGCTTATCCTGATCAAGGAGCTTCCAAGTCTCCCATGCTCTGCAGCGAGGAGGAGCACAAGAAGCCAGGAGGGAGCAGAGACAGGACACCTGACCCACACTGGCCAAAGGGGTATTCCATACCACAGCACGTCATGCCCAGTATATAAACTGGGAGGAGCCACCCAGAAGGCCCAGATTGCTGCTCAGGTTGGGCTGGGTATTGGTCAGTGGGTGGTGAGCAATCGTGTTGTGCATCACTTGTGTTTATTGTGTTTTTTCCCTTTTACTTTTTTTTTTTTTTTTTGAGAGGCAAAAAAGGCTACAGCTTCACAACTCGGCTAAAGGAAAAATTAGCAACAGATGAAAACATTCTGCAGAGCCATAAGTTTGTACAGACCTATCTGGAAAGTTAAAGCAATCTTCTAAAAATTGAACAAAAAAGAGGATTAATTTTAACAGAACATCACAAATCCATATTACAACACAGGGCAAAAAGAAACCTCGTGTAGGAGAAAAAAATCTACTTTGTTGCTTTATTAAGGTGTGGAACAGTACTTTGCAAGTCAATCCTAAAGACCATTATAAATTTCTAAAAAAAAAAAAAAAAAAACTGCTGAAGATTTTTTTCTACTGTGAAATGGTATAAGCATTAGCATAACTTCAGATATCGCAAACTATTTTACTTAAAAAAAGGCTTATACAAACTTTTTTATTTCAAGCTCATTAAAGCTTGTTTTATTAATGTTTCAGCATATGAATGTTGGAAGCTTAATGCCACTGGTGTATCAGAAACAAGTTTCAGATACAACATATGGTCATGTAACACTGGGAAAATCTAAATGAAATTGCTCAGTAGCTGCAGAGATACTAGGACTATACTTGACCTTCTTCCAAATTCCATAGTCTTCGATATCTAAGATATCACAATTGACTTAGAGGCTACATAGTTACAGGTTTTTGTTTTGCCCTAGAAGGATGTTCTTTACAGGGATTTTTTTGTTCATCATTGACCACTGGTGACTACAGCCAGTCGTTAAAAAGACTACACAAGATTCTTACCCATTTTGTGCAAGGTCAATCAACACTAGGTCCTTTTCTAGGAGAACAACTACAGCATATGGTTCCTGAAAGTCTGAAAACAAGAAAGAAAAAAGTTACTTACTGGTAAACATAGTTCTTGCATGCACAGTCTCAAGAATGTTATCAGTCCTTCCACTCTATCAAGTTGAGAGCCAAAAAGCCCCTTGGATGACTATAGTTTCTTAAGATACTTCATACACTCACCCCACTCAAATATTTCAAGTTAAGTTTGGGAAAACCATGCTCTCCCTTTAATTCAATATTCTCAATCATTTTCCAATTTGCTAGAAGCATTTAAACAGCTCAAAGAACAAAAAAAGGAACATGCAAAGGAACTGGAATAAACAGTATTTTTGAGAACAAGCCAATTCCTGAACAATGACATCCTCCCACCCCAAAACTGCTTTTCCACATATTCAGTGGAGTTTAAAGTGTAATTGCTTACAAAACCGATTGAAAGACAGCCTACCTGACACTAAAATAAGAAAATTGAAAGCCTTTCCAAAGCTTATCGTGCCCTCAAATTCTGAGCTAAGCACTTTTACACACTATGATAGAAGAGTAAAAACACTGGAGCCATTGGTAATATAATACTATTAATCTGGGCCAACTACCTAAATCATCATAAAAAAATCTCCTTCTGCAGAAGGAAGATTACAGATTAGTGATGACCTTCATGTGAGTATTGTAATGAATAAAGTCATTAAAGTTAAAAGAATTGCATGAATGCTAACCAAGACCTAGCATTGACTGGAAAGGTCTTTTGCACAAATATCAATAAACATGCTGCAGTAGCTACAGCTTAAAACTCTAAAACTACTTTTTGTCCATACACGGAAAACCCATGCAACCAGTAACTGGCAAAACAGGTTTTATAATAAACTTTTCTATTATGATGCTTTGGGAAGTAAAACATACTTCAGACAATGGGGATTAACAGATGCTGCTGCAGTCTGATCCCCAGAGGTAAAGCAGAAAGGAAATGGTAAATACTCTGATGGGATACAACTTCAGAGAGAAGAGGTCAAAGTACTGAGAAAAAAAAAATAAAATCTTTACAGAGCCTACCATTAGGATATGGTGTTTCACAGAGGGTTAGAAAATCAACAATAGAATAATCCATTTCTAGCACAGCAGTACTTTTCCCGTGCATAACTGTCAAACAGGGTCTTCTTCCTACAGTGTCATATGACAAGCCTCCTGAGAGAATGATGAAAGGCTCCCTGGAATAAAGCAGAAGCATGTAGGATCAAGCCAAGATGATACATTAAGAGACTGGGGCACTTTTATAACCTTATAATAAAGTTCAATGAGATATCATTAAGCAGAGATTCATTAAGAATAATGCATACCAGCTCTCCATGCAACATGTAGCTTGGGTATGAATTTCACAGTTTAAAAAACAAGAATTAGAAGGCTATAACTTAAGTCAGACATCTCTTTCAAACCTTTTCTTCTGTGTTACTTATTTAACCAACCTTTGCGACTGTTTGCCAAGATGAGATTTTTTTATTTTGTTCAACTTCAGAATTGTTTCTTTCTATTAAAATGCAGATTTAGATTTGCCAACAACCCCATTTATCCATACTATACAATATTCCAGCAGGATCAAGTACATTTACTTCCTGTACAGAATTAGCCTAGATTTTGAAGGATGAACAATTTTTCAAACACTGTAAAGCAATTTTGCAGCCACAATAACACGACTGTCTTGGAGAAGCAACCAGCTGCTTGATAAACTACAAAGATCTAGTATCTTTTAAGAAAGCAAAGACACAAATACATGCCCACAGTTCTTTCATCACACATTTACTCTAGACATTTTATTCATTTTACTCCCTACTACCATGCACAAAATTAAAAAAACTACCATGTCACAGACTGCTCCTACTACATAATTAAATGCCTTGAGTATAACAAAACTATTTCTTCTAGTCCTGAAGAGCGACTAGCAAATTCCCTTCAGAAGTTTTTTAAGTCTTTACAGAAACACATTTTAAAACACATCCACATTTTCTCCAATATGCATAGAACAGTTTAGTATTTCACTTACTGAAAAGCAAGATGAAATAAACACATGTTTTATTAGAGGTCTGGTTTCGGTTGAGATAGAGATAATTTTCTTCCTAGTAGCTGGTGCAGTGCTGTGTTTTGGCTTTAGCTTGACAATAATGCTGATAACACACATTTTTTTAGTTATTACTCAGTAGCACCCTTATTGAGGACTTTTCAGTCTTTTGTGCTCTGCCATTGAGAAGGGGTACAAGAAGCTGGGAGGGAGCAGAGACAGGACACCTGACCCAAACTACCCAAAGGAGTATTCCATACCACAGCACATCATGCCCAGTATATGAACTGAGGGGGAGTTACCCAAAAGGTACCAATCACTATTTGGGTTGGGCTGGGTATCAGTTGATGGGTGCTGAGCAACTGTATTGTGCATCACTTGTGTTTATTGTGTTTTTTCCCTTTTAGTTCTCTCCCCTTGTTATTTCTCTTAGTAGTAGTATTGTATTGTACTTTAGTTATTAAACTGCTCTTATCTCCAAACCTGCAGGTCTTACATTCTTTTGATTCTCCTCCCCATCCCACCCAGAGCGGGCAAGGGGGCGCAAGCAAATGGCTGCGCAGTACTGAGTTACAAGCAGGGTTGAAACCATGACAACTATGTATTTTCTTCTTTATTATCAGAAGTCATTACTCATTTTAACACTGTTTATGTTTAAAATAGGGCATAATACCTTTTAATGTGCAGGCCTACTGTTTATAAACATACATCTCAATTTCTTGAGCTATTATTGATTACCGTCTCAGATTTCAGGTTTTGTTTCTGGAGAAAAAACACGCACTTGGTCTGTGAAATTCCTCTGATCTACTCTTATGCTCACTTTAGGTAGGAATCCTACCCTTTCAGTATCTACCTTAGAAGCAGCTATCTGGAGAAAATCTGTAGGCAAGAAAGCCATCCTGGAATATTGTGAAAAAGAAGCTGAAGAGATCTTTTATTTTTTGCCTTTTCCTATAACACCGTATTTCCTATACTAGTTAGCATCTGAAACAAATGTGAAAGACTAGGTACATCTCTTTTCTTGAAAACTATGTATGGAGGCTCTAGTTTATGCACATGTGCCTTTCATTATTTTCAGGCTTGGCTTAAGTGTGCTATGTGGTTTTAGCACTGAAGACAAAGCAGACTGAGATAAGCTTTCAGTTTCTGGAATTACTTCACAGTCTGTCTGATCCTTCAGAAAGCCCTATAACTGAAGAGTTGATAGGGTCAAAGAGTTCTGCTGGCTGAGGAAGAGACCTCACAGAACAGCCATAAATTAGACTGTGGCTCCACCAAGTTCAATATCCTGCCTCCAACAGCAGTCAAAAGTGTATTTCTAGAAAATGAATCCGTTTCCTTCAAGTTTATTTAATCTCAGTTCTTCATATTGGAACTTCAGACAATCTTTTATGGTCAGGTCCATGATGCAATTCCAGAAAAAGGACAAACTTTAATTTAACTTGATATTTTTCAAGACGTCAGCAAAGAAGAAAATATTGGTATGATGTACTTCCAGTATCTTATTGTGCTGAAATGATTTATTGCAGTATTTTTTGTCTACACAAAACCTTTTTTTTTCCTAAACAATAACGCTGCCAGGACAAGTTGCAGTAATTATTAGACTTGTGGGTTCACCAAGATCAACTGACAATAACAAAGTGACAAATTTCAGTTTCCATGTTTCATACATCACAGTAAAGAAATGCTTCTCCTGGTTTTATTTCTCAAGGTAATCAGATTGCTTTGGGCAGGCTTGCCAGAGCCTGTATCCCTATGAAGCAAAGAATGGAAGTGCTAAGAATAGATTACACAGATCCGTCACATGGATTTTTCATAGATGTATCAAAGATTAAAGTTGACTTTAGTCTGCCAGAACGACTAAAACAGGTTTGTGTAAGAACTTTTCATATGTTAATGAAAGTGGATTTACCATGAATGCAAGCTGTGTGTTTTCTAATTGAAGTGTTGTCCCTCAGTTGTGATACATATTAAAAGGTTAGCACACACACATTTTACAAAGAAACGCATAATATAAAAGAAAAATTAAGAAGTATTGTACTTTACATAATAGATGAGAGAGGTAAAATTAACTCTCCAAGTTAGATCCATCTGATACAATGGAAAACCTTTAACAAAAAGCAGTGCTCAAACTCTTAGAGAGTTGCTATGTAGCATTTTTAGCAGCGGCTAATACAGAGATTCTTCTTCAAAACAGTTTTGCTTCAGCAGGTTTGGAAGTGGTCCCTTTACACTAATTTTCTCATCAGTAAAATCTGTAAGATCACTTGGGAAACACTATAAAATATTCATTACAAAGTGGAGGCAATGTTTCATTAGAAACAAAAAAAAAAATCAGAAAACACAGGATTATGAAAATGAAATAAAACCGAGTGGCTCACAACCCTGCAGGATGTTCCTGCTCAACTTTAGAAGTAAACTGTTAAGCATCACCCAGTTTCTGGCAACCTGGATGTGAGGGCGAACAGTACGTACAGAAGTCAGGCCTTTGGTACCAGCTGGCTTCCTTTTCAAGCCATGGATGAATTTGTCAAGAAGTTAATCCCTAGTAATAATAAAGTAATTCCACCTAGTAATGAAGGTGGAAAAGATCCAAGGGTTACTATAGCTTAAAAATTAAATTCTTGAAGTACTAGTGAAGATAAATTACAAATTCATTTTGGGAAGTGTGCTTTTGAGCTTAGACAATAAAATAGTATATTCAAACTAAATTAACAGATCAAGAAATTTTACTTATCTGAAGACCTCATTATTATTGTAACCTCTAGGTCCCAATCATATACGCCTATCTTTCTAAGAGGTACTGCTCTACAGTTAGTCAACGACAGCTAACAATAACATTCTTGCTCTGTTTCATAGGAAGACTTTTGAGCTGTAATTTCTATTACACAGAGCTTTAGTGGTGAAGAATAAGCTTGGGCAATTTTACCATAATGCTAATATCAAGCAGAATAAATACTGTAGGAACTGAATCCGGAGGGGTGGGAAATGGCATTAGGAAGCTCAAGAGCTTCTCTCTAGATCCACTTTAGACAGAAAAGCATGCATAAAAGGCAACATTGAAACCATTTCAACAAGCTCAAAGGGTAATCTATCTTTGCAACTCATTACTTCATGAAGAGATGGAGTATTTTAGATGAAAAAATTACTGGAGAGCAATGACATTCTCTGGGATTGGAAATTATGCCAGTTTTCACAAGGAATATATGAAGAACTTGCCTTTTTGACCCCCTAGCCTAGGTACAGGATGACTGTCAGTAGTAACCTTTCTACATGTATTTCCCAGAAATAAAGCTACAGACATACTATTGTTGAGGGTAACTTTGTCTTTGGAGACTTCACAGGCACTATCTGCAGCAGACTTAAGCAAAAACACACAGCAATAGAAAACCTACAAACTTAGAAGACAAATAGGTAGTCTCTAAGAACCAGAAAAAGCTTCCTGTCTTGTTTTCACAACTCCAGCTTCACAATATGGAGAACACTGGAAAGCGAGGGGTATAAAAGAAAGAAAGACCACACTAGGGAAAAGTAGTCTCCCCATAGTATTACTAGAAATTACACTAGAATAAGCTCCTCTTTGAACTGTGTGAAAAGTCAATTAGTTTTCACATAGTAATATTGTAATTGAACAGAACAAGCTTCAAACTCATCTTCTCTTCAGAGTGACTATTCATAAACAGAAGGCTTTTGATTGCAGAAGTTGTAACTTGCTGAAGCTGAGACTACTTTTGGTTATCTTTATCTTTCTTTAGATCAGCTTTTAACATTTCAGTTGAGAAAGAAATACACAGATGCAGACTTCTGCAAGGAAAATACGGCTTTCCAACTGATCATACATGTTCATATATTGGGAATTTGCCACTATCTTAAATTTCTATTCACCTTACTTTTAGCAAAAACGAAAATACACAAAGCCACTGCTATTATACATATGTGTATACCAATGTATCTAGTAAGATCTATTACATCAATTAAGTAACAATCTTCTATAAATCTGAATGCCTGGAAAGCAAATGAAATCAATGCATAACAAACACATGCCATCCCTATCCCCCCCCCCCCCCCCCCCCAATAAAAACCCCAACAAAAACTGAACAGGTTTCCATGAATATTTTATCTTTATATTGCACTTTTTACTCAAACACTTTAAAGCACTTTAGAACCATAAATAAAAAGTGCCACTCAGTTCACGAAATCCTGCAATCCTAATTGCAGTCTTGGTAACAAAACATGCTACTCGAGATACTGTAATTCCATCTGAGCCTCTTGTTGAAATTACTGCTTTGTAACATTCTCAATGTGCATAATTAGGCACAATTCACTGCATAAATTACTGCACTTTACCAGAAGAGATTCTGTCAGTAGCATTTTTGGGGGAGGAACACTTATTCAGAACTTAGAATATTCGCATCAGGCTACTATTTGCCAAAGTTCAGTTTTTCAGGCCTGTGCTTTAGTTTCTTCTGTGCTTTATCAGCCTTTTTCTCTTTCATATGCTCAAAGGATTGAGCAAAAATACGTAAGTTTAGTAGCATGGAAGAAGCACGTAGATTATGCATCAGTAGGATCTTTACCTAAGATAAGGTTTGTAGGTAGTAATTTGTTCACATGTGGTTTTGTAGTTTATTCAGCAATACCCACTTTACCAAAATTATTTCAGCTGTTTTATCATAGCTCAGTGCCATCAGAATACGTATCCCAACAACTGGGAAACAAAGTACATTCACAGAGAGCTGCATTATTTTACATACATTTGTTTTAGATGCAAAAAAGTCTTACCCAGCTCTAGTTGTCTTATATTCCACCTTAAGGATAGGTTTACAGGGTTCTGGCTTCTTTCCATCCTTCAACTGCTTTCCTAAAGTGAATTATTTGTTTACATTAATCTTACAGTTCCATAAAATGATGAAGAATTATGAAATTCACCCTGCAACTTGCAAAGTAGAACACTCATACAAGACATATATTCAACACCTTTGAAAACTACAGTTTACCTTGGAATAATATCATTAAAGATTTGGTAAAATTCTTAACGCACAACTTAGAATATTTAGGTTTAGTCTGGTTTTAGATTGTGGGTTTATTTTTTTTCTTTTAAAGCATTGTTCAGTATTTGGTTTTTTTTTTAAAAAAAATAATCCTCCCCTAAAAAAGTTCTTTTAAGTAGCCCTGGGAGATTTAAAACTTATGTCTACCATTTTGCAATTAAAATTGGTCATCGTAAAAGTAAAATGAGGTTTATCCTGAGTGCTTTCCTTGGGGGCTAAGGCTTGAACATGAAGGTCCAATCCTTTACTGTATGCACCATTAGCAACTAAAGCTTTACAGATACAATTTCCCACAGAGTTTGTAGAATTTAAGAGTATGGTATAAATATGTATCTTTTCCCTCTGAACATTGGTAAAGTCTGATACAGCTATAAAGTTCTACAAAAAATTTCATTTGCAGCTCAAAATCAAAATGAAAATGTTTACTAAAAGAGGCCAAAGCATTAAAATCAAGTTAGTCTTCTCTAACTAGTTTTACTACTGCAGTAGCAGTCAGGTTTTTTTTTTTTTCGCTGCTACAGGATCATGTAGAAATCCATAGCTTCCTTTTTCCATTCTAGTCCCCAGCCAACACAGTAAACATGGACTTGCTGAAGGCTCAGATAGGTAAACCAGGATTCTTAACTTCAGCATCTCATGCTATGACTGTAATCTCACAGATTATCCTGTTACATTCACACTTAAGAATCTGAGGTAAATAAGTTGCTAAAACATGACTTCGACATATGCACACCATATAAGCCTGGCATTTGTATAGAACTTTTTTGAATAGCAGCAGCATATTTCAGAGAAGAACAACATGTAAAGTTAATTTCCTAGCTTAACATTAATTCAAGACTTCTCAGAAGGGGGAACATCTTACCAGATGCTAGTCTTACTCTCGTACAAACCTTTCCAAGAATTTATATGGTAATCTACACATTTATACATGAAACAGATGCTTGCTTATATGTATTTTAAACAACATATGGGATTGTAATTGCAAGCAGAAAGTAAGCCCTGCAAAATATGCATCAGTTAATTCTGAGATCAATGCCTTTATGTGAAAGGTGAGCTTAAAGTTTATAGCTTTAGACAAAACTGCAGTGATATCAATTCTTACTTGATACTTCTTTTTAATGAAATCTATCAGAATTTGATATGACAGTTTTTTTACTTGCACTTGCATTTTTAATACTTGGTTTTGCAAAATGCACTTCTATTAAAAATAAGTTCTCTGTGTTTTAAGGGTTGTCCAACAGCGGGTATCCCTTTTCATCTTACCATGTGGAGTGATTGTCTGGAATGGTTTAGTAGGAGATTTTACATTCCATATGGTCAAGGTACCATCTGAGTGACTACAAATGAATTGTTTTCCTTCATGGTGCCAAGCCACAGAGTGGATTGCCTATGAAAGAAAAATGAGAAAACAGAATAGCGTAAATTGAGTAGCTTAGTATCATTATATCCTTACTCAGTGAGATGTGATAGCAAAAGGAAATTAGAGAAAGTACTAATTAAATCATACTGCTCTTCAAATGCCCTAATTTACCCATGGTAGGATTTCCATTCATAAGTTCTTCTTTCAGACATACTTTTTCCATCTAAAATGCTGTCTTCAACTGTAGTGATGTTTGATTTGTTGGGGGGGTTTGGTGTGTTTGGGGGGGGGGGAAGGGGTTGAGGCTGAGGGTTGGGGGAGAGAAAGATACTTGTCAGAGGGTAGTACTAAAGTATTTTTCAGTAATTTGTAGTGTGCAGAGAATATCTGCAAGCCCTTACGCTTTGCTAGCCATTTTTTTTTTTTTTTTTTTGGGAAAAATAGACCGTCTGTGAAAATCCTATCAAGTAGCTGTTTTTTGTAAGTCAAAACTTCAAATGGCATTTCGAGATGTCTGCGTAGATATGCACAAGAGGCAAGCAGGGGCTGAGAATATCAGTAAAATGACAACTGAAGCAATAATAAGATTTCGGAAATTATGATGAATGATGATGATTACAAAAACAAAACATTAGCTTGAATAAGCATTCCAATGTTGCAATGGTAGTTTTAAGGTATAGAAACGCATTAGCAACCTACTAGTAAATCTTTTCATGGATACAGAAACATCTTTACATTCATAAAATCAGGAACGGAATGATTAAGTCATGCCACATGAATTCTCAGTGCAGAAAAAAAAGCTGACTGAATGAAATCTAGTTGCTGCCTTAAGGTGAGAGAAAAGTAAACAAGAGTACAAATAAGGCAAAGAGATTAACTAGTAAGAAAAGTTTGGTGCCATTTCTGTTTCCAGCATCTCTGTTAGTACATGGAGACACCATGAAACCATTAGATGATGTTCAAGGGAATTTTAGTTACAGGATCAAAATATCAATAAGCAAGGAAAACCCAAAGTACTTCTCTACTTCCCAAAAGGTACAGAAGGAAGTATTATCTACTGGAAGTATTGAACTTTGATATCACTGAGAAGGTAGATCTCCTTAATACTTATGGTAAAGACATAACTCTAAGTAAACTGAAAGCAGGACCTGAATAAGTGAAAGCTTATGGGCTGTACAATGCCATCTTTTCAGTGGGTACACTCAGTAGAGATTTTATCTGTAACTAGGGGTTAGACTCGCCCCAGCAACGCAGGTACCTAGAGGCTGAGTAGAAGGGAATCCTAACTAGCAGTGAAAGCTTAGGCAGCAAATCCCTAGATGAAAAGCAAATCACACAAGATAGATCTAAGCTATCTTTGCTTAAACTGATTATACACAGATCAGAGCCTCATATTTCATAAAATTACAGAGAAAAATCAAGACAGTTTCCAGCAATATGATTGGAAGAATCCAGAGATTAAATGCCAGATAGAGGAAAATGACTACACGACATGAATTCAGACTCCCCAGGAATAAATTTTCCAACTTAAAGTAGTAGAAAAGCCGAGTATCCGTAAACTACAGATCAACTAAATTCTGTATTTCTTAGTGAAATTTAGTTTTGTTCCCAATATAGCGTGGAATCACTACAGAATTTGTTAGAAAACTGATTCAGTGTATCAATATTCAATCTACACATATGTAGCTCAGAAACCTAGACTCTCACATGAAGTCTCCTAAAGTCAAAGTAAAATAGACTTGCTTATTCTGCCTGTAAAATTAATTTTTATTTAGCAAATATAAGCAGGTAATATGAAAGATTTTTTTCATAAATATTGGAAATTCAGTGTTACTTACCAACATAGTACCAAGCAAATCCAGCAATCAGTAAGTTTGAAAGTACAAACCCGGTAAAGCACAGGTTGCATTTCAAAAACCTATTTTCACTAAGAGAAGAAATTATCTATACTATTATGAGCAATACAATTTAACAAGTATGTTTTAATACTCTCCCATGTGGAGTCTAACCCTGACATTAGTAGGCAGCCCATAGCGTAAATGGAACAGTTTTTGATACACATGTATTTAGAAATAGGTCTTAAGAACCCGGAAGAAAGCAAGTTTCATAGAATGAAGGGTAAATTGGAAAAAGGAACGCTTTTTCCTTTTCTTGAAAAAGCAGGTCAAGAGAAAGGAAACCCAAATCCCATTACTGTTGAAACAACATTAATGCTTAAGAGCATAAAAAGATCTGATAAACTGAGCACAAAGGACAAGGATGACTGATATCACCTTATTTCTGCAAGGAACCTAATGGGATGGAAAGAATGCTGAAAGGCAATAATGAGGCTTTTGGATTTATGGTTATTTATTGTCTAGTTTTATAGAGCATCTGGCTACATTTAGCAATACAGCTAACTTTTTTAAAGCATAACAAATACATTTTATGTATTTTTTAAATAATCCAACTAACAATTCTGTGGGCTGAGTGTGATAACCTTTGGTGCAAAGCACTATCCTTTGCTACTACACAATTCACAGCTTTTTGTAAGGCTGAAAAATTAAGCTAGACCTGTAAGTAGCTGTAGTATAATCCCCACGTTTACAATAGGCTAGTGTATTTACAGTGACAATTCACTTACAACAAAGAAGTACAACAACTTTAGGTGGCACTAGCTGGTTGGTATAGATAGCCTCAATCAGCAAAACAAAACTGGTAACTGAAAAATCATCGTAATACTTGAGAGCAACAGTTTGGACATTTTCTCCATTATTAATATTAGTGCTGGAATACAAAGGAAAGCACAACATCCAAGATAAAAAAGTCAGGCAGAATCCACCAAGGCTGCAAATCTATATATAGCTTCTTCAACACTAAAAAGCTCCTAGGAGTAATATTTTTTTTTTTCCAGTGTTTTACACAAAACTTACTAATTAAATATAAACTTTCAAAGTTTTAATGATAATTCTCATTCTGTTTTGAAACTTCACCCAGTACCCTTTTGGTACCATAAAGCTTATATCAGATTGTGCTGATTCAACTGTGTCTCAAATATTTTTATGGAGTATATCACTGGTCATATAGATCCCAGAGAGACAGTAATTCCCTATTACAAGATCATGCACCAGTGCCACAGAGGACTCTTGCTGTTTTTAAGGCACAAGGTGCTTGTATCCTCAAGAGGAGTTGTCTGCACAGGTAATCCAAGTCATGACCTCATTAACATTCAGAATCTTCCATTTACAAACATACACTGAATCCAGGGTGTCTTTACACGACCTTACACAGAGAATTTTTACCAAAAAAAAAAAAAAAAAACAAATAATAAAAAAAAAAAAACAAACAAAACCCAACACTTTAAATTTACTTAATTATAACTAAAGGTTTCTTATTAAGGGTATTCCTACTATTCCCTTCACTGTGATTCAAAGGTAGCTGTTCTGGACTATATGGAAGTTTTTTGAAAACTTTTGAGACAGTTATGAGTGGAGGGAGGGGGTGACAAATCTTTTTTGGACAAATCCAGCATGATTAACTGTAATGTCCTGCATAAGCCAAAGCTTAACCAGAAATGTAGAAACTAACTATCCTAGACAGCATTATGTGGAGACAGGCTGCGTACAAAGGAAGCCTCACTTTCACCAGCTGTTCCAGAAGGATTATCCTGTGTGGAAAAGTAACTGTCATACTGCATGCAAAGAAGGTGAACATATCTGATTTTCAGAAGGAAACCTTGTAATGACTGCAACCGTTGCCCAAGGGAGACTGTAGGACCGTAAAGTGCAACCACATATAAGAAACTGAAGTCTGAGGAACAAAATTAAAAGCATTTATATGCAAGTCTCCTGCAGAAATATCTTAAGTAGATCACTTGGTTTTAAAGAGATTAATGTACATTTAAAACACTTTATAAAATTCAGTTTTACTGCTGCAGTAGCTTGTTAATATCCCTAGAAATCAATATTATTTCTTGGTTCTTTAAAGAGGTACAAAGATCAATAACTCTAAATACAACCTTAAAATTTGATAGACAAGTTCATCAATAAAGACTCAAGTTTTGATTGTATTTTTCACCATCAAGAGGATTTAACTGTTCCAATTCATAAAATGCATATACATAAAATCTCTTTTGTTTCAATTTCTACAGACTTATTTTAACCCTACAGGCGATTACACATACATCAACTCGGAACACTTTGAGACCACTCTTCGTATCCTATCTTCTTGCAAGACAAGATACATGCAGAAAATCGATACTTGGTTGTTAATACAAAAACTATTTAAGCTGTTTACCCTGTTTCTAAGAGACTTTTCAAGCCATTTTTCTAATACCAAGTCTAGACTACTGCAAATACAGTTGCTACAACTCAGAAAAAAAGAAAACTAAGTAAACTGGTTTGCTTTTTTTGTTTTAAGTAAGAGGCACCTCCTTGCTTGATTCTCAAGTGTAACACAATCATTGGAAAAATGTTTCTCTACACTTTCCTATAGGAACACACCACCAACCATGGAAAATTCCTTTCATCATTCTTTGGATTTGACAATGATCTTTTTCTCTTTTGTGCCATTAAGTGAACTTGAAGCACACTGTGCATGACTGGTAAGGTCCATGGTAAGAGATTAGTTATTCTGCAAACCACTGTGTACTGTAGCCTATTCAGACTTCATTGTCTTATTACCATAGTCCTGCATTTCCATAGGCATGGAGAATATTTTCTGGTATACTTAAAACAGATGACAACACTGACTCCTTTTCTGCAGGTTTACTAACATACTCAAAGCAAGGATAATAACTTGGGAGTACCTATGCTCTCTTGTCACTAGCCTAAAGAAAGAAAGGGAAACAAATACTGCAAGAGAAAAAGAATATAGCTACTGAGATTTAAATGGCAATATATCATGAAGATTGTTTTGATACCATGAAATGTGCGAGTGCCTAATGACTGCATTGTCATTCTTTGGTTCCTGGCAAGTCACATATCAGCATTGCCTTTTTATTATTTTTTTTTCCTCTCTTTCTCTTCCTCTTAATCCCACAGGCTACTTTGACATGTTTTTAATGCTTTAAAATAATCTCTTATAGTCAGCTATGTACCAGAAGATTGAGCCTAAAAATAGTCATCTATAATACATTTGTTGCATTAATGCTATCAAAGCTTCCTTTAAATCAGAAAAAGGTAATACTTGAAGAATGGACTATATTTAAAAACATTAGTTTTAGTTTTCAGAAGTTACACTTCAATTCTTTAGAAAAAATTCCCAAAACTATTGGTTGAGATATTTGGGTTTTTTCCTCTCATGGCTGAAAATATAGTATGGGAAACGTTTGCAGTATAAACTGTATTCCATGAAAGAAATTAGTAACTTTTTGAATCATCAGTGTTTGAAAATAAAAGGCTTAAGAATACGAAAAAAGAATTCACAGTCTTTATTTTTCCACTGAGCCTGCCCAAGACAAAAAGGATGTTTTGAGGAAAAGGCTTCAAAGAAACTTTCTAAAGAGATGTTAATTCACAACTGCAGTTCCATTAGGTCACAGAAAATTTCCTCCAATTTCTCTGAAAAAGAATGCTACATCTGAGCATTCTCTCAACTAATTCTAAACATGCAACATATTACTGTTACAATAAAAAGCATACAGTAGTGGAAGTTGAGGATCTCATTTGTAATACAGAAAAATCAAGAACAAATTATAACTAAATTGTCTTCTTGACCAATGTTTTTCAACTCTGAAGTCATTATTACATGTTAACAGAACAAAATTAACATTAGTTTCAAATGTAGAATAAAAGAAAAAGAGAAATCAAGATGCAATCAAACTTATAATGGACACAGCTTAAGTTATTTCTGCCTAGAACTGTTAGCTACTCTTTTCTTGCCCAGAACCTAGGTTAATCATACCCTCCCTGAATCCCGCTCCATTTAGTCAACTTCCCTGGTTTCTGATTTTCCGTTCTATTTTAATATCTACACAACTGAACTAGCTTGCCACTGAAAATTATCATTTGCTTACATTATACATTAGTTATAGACATTTAATTTTTGGCGAATTATGTGAATTGCTAAGTTACTCAGCTAGAATGAATACATTACCTTATTATCATAATTCCAGCAATGCCAGTCAATGTTTTTCACACTATCAGTTATGGTGTTACTTGTGCAGGACTCAAAAAATTACCCACCTTTCTGCAGTAACCTCTTTCAGTAAAAAGCTAGTGAGAATGCTTTTCTGTTAAGGAAGCTGCTCATAAAATCCAGTAAAGTTTTTATTATTTGGCAATACCATTTCATTCTTGCAAAATGTAACAAAACCGCCCATCTTTCTTCTGCATTTGTTAATATTTACATTCACTTACTTGAAACTGTGCTGGTCGAAAAAAATCAACAAAACCAGTGTATTTATATGAGCCACTAATTAACCAGCATCAACTGTAATACGATTAGAAAGGTAACATTATGGAGATGAATTTTTCTTTCACTAACAAATCAAGGGAGATTCTCCATTTTTGCAGCTAAATACAAAATAGAGGCACTGGAGGATAAAATGAAAGATAATTAAAGCAGCAGCCCCACCTCACTTTGACTTGCACTTAAAAGAGGATAGATATGTGTGTATATAGCATATGTGGAATAATCCACTTTCTGCAGCTTTCTATTAATTATCTTTTCTGTATCTGACTGTTTCTGGACCAATGGCCTTGAGAGAAGATCCTATTACAACACTCTGCAATGGCACTTGTCAAGAAATGCTGTTTTCAATTGTGCTAGACAAAATAAACCATTTTATTTCTATGCCATTCAGGCCAGAATCCTGAAGAACTTGAAGCTGCCTAACTGTATCAAATCCAAATTTGAAAAATGGGACATTTTTCTATTCTGCCTTCCCCATTAGAAGATTAGATCTAAATAACATAACCACTGAAGAACAAATTCCTTGTCATACATTGTTATATGGATGGGAACCAACAAATTATTACCACATACAGTAATTCTTTTCCCCAAAGAGTTATTTTTCTTAAAGGGTAATCTGAACTCACAGAAAAAGCATACTTCAACTTTTAAGACTTCAATGGCTAGTACTTCCTTTTAAGCGATTTTATGTATGTTTGTTTCTCACCAGTGAGAACAACAAAACTCATCAAGCTCACTCTATAGGTCTTCACTTTTCTCTCCCCTCCCTATCTATTCCCAGCTTATGATAATGCACATTTCTTAACTAAAAGATCTGACACGAGACATTACTTCTTCAATAAAAAAAAATAAAATAACAAAACAAAAACCAAACAATGGAACAACTAGATACGTTCACTTAAAAATCCTACGGGAAATCAAAGATGAAACAGCTGAACTATTCACTGCTGTTTGCAACCTCTCAAATCAGGGTCAGTTCAGAAAGATGACAAGTACGGAGTCAATTTTTAAATAAAGGGACTACAAAATGCAAAGAAAAACAGAATAAGCAGCATAGTGTCTACCCTGGGTAAGCTTCTAGAAACTGCAATAAAACTTTAATAAAGAACAGTGTTAGTCGACATAGGGAAAAGTATAATATCTCAGGTAGACGTCAACATGCTTTTTCTAAAAGGAAATTATATCCAACAAACCTCTGAAAAATGTTAGCAAGCATGTGGCTAATGGAAACACCAATTAAGCTGTCCACAATTTTTGAAGTCTTTCAACATCTCTCAAAGGAAACTAAAACCAAACAGATTAAGATCCCTGAACAGATGAATAATTGGTTAAGATATCAGGAAGTAAAGGAAGCTAAAATAAAGACAGACTGGCAGTAATTGACCAGCTCAAGGTAATTGGTAGAGACCCACAGGGATCTGTGCTGCTCAGTTTATTAATAAATAACTCAGGAAATAAGTGGTCTGCTGACAGTACCAAAGCCTATTCAAGGTAGAAATCAGTATTCCACTGAAGAACTGCAAAAAGACTTAAAATTTTTTTGTCCAACTATGTAAGTGTGAAGCACTGTATAAGTGCAATGAACTTAGAGCTGACAATTAACACTGAAGAGCAAGGCTCTAGTTGTACAGTAGGCTGTTCTAAGGAAGTATATGCTTAATGCTTGCCACATGAAGAGGCTGATCCAGTATCCAGATAGAGGAAAAAAAACCCCAAACATTATTATTCCACATCGTAAATTCGGTGTACCCACATCTTGATTATACTATGCTGTTGTGTTTGTCTTTTATAAACCAAAGATGAAATAGAATGGTTAAGAGCAAGAACACTAGGAATAAGAACTTAAGACTAAAAAAAGATGTAGATACAATTAAGTTTAGGATACAAAGTGACACAGGAAATTAGATGCATGCAATGCAACCGGAAGATAGAAAATTGCTCTTCACATAATATACTTTGAGGCTTATACAGGCATATCTGAATAAGCCTCATTCAGCTCAGATGTTCTAATATAGCTCTGATGATCTAAGGCCTAAACCACTTCAGAGACTACTCCTTCAAAGAAACTCTTCACTGGTAGAGCTAACACACAAGCATGAGTACCGAGTAAGAACCACCACAAAGCCCACAAAAATCCTGCCTTGTGAAAAGGGTTTAGCACAGAACTAAGGAAAATACACCTGCTGTCATACAAGAAACAGGCCCAGCTGGTACCAAACAATGATACAGACATTTTACAATTGGTGACATTTAATTGAGACTAATTTTGTTATTTTAAATAAAAGAAATCAACTTGCCTGTTAAGTGTTTTTTCTTAATCTCAGTCTTTTGAAAAGCCTACATTCTCTCATGAATTATGCTTTAAAGAAATAAATTTCCTTCAATGCAATTGTCTTTTTTAAATCTCTCCCACTTTCATTTCAAACCTTAATCTTATTCTACAAGGAAAAGGTGTTTATAGAAATGGCCTAGTGAGACTTCTTCCCCTAGTAGCT